ATCAGATGATTAGCCAGCCAGTCAGTCAGTCAGGCGGTCAGTCAGTCAGTCGGTCAGTCAGTCAGTCAGTTAGTCAGTCAGTCAGTTAGTCAGTCAGTCTTCATATAGTCAGTTATTCAGTCATTCAGTCAATCAGTCAGTCAATCAGTCAGCCAATCAGCCAGTCAATCAATCAGTCAACCACCTTATTAATCTCTCACCCTGCCTCCTCTCTCTCCCTCCCCCAGCACCTACGGGAGGTCCTCGGTCTCCTGACGCAGGTGTACTCCGCTTCACCTGGCCGGAGCGACATCACCTACCTCGATACGGTTCTGGAACGACTGAAAGTAAGTGGGAAAAAAGAGGAAGAAAAGGAAGAAGGGGAGGAGGAGATATGGTGCATTATGTATAAACATGTTATAGTGTATGAGTATGTTATATAGTGTGTAGTCATGTTTTAGTATGTAATGTCGTGGTATATGATGCGTACTGATGTTATATTGTGTATGATCATGTTAGATAATGTATGATCGCGGTATGTAATATCTAAAAATGTTACATTGTGTATAATCATTTTACATATTGTATGATCATATCACAGAATGTATAAAAATGTTGAATTGTGTATAAGCATGTCACATAATGTATGATCGTGGTAAATAATGTTTAAAAATGTTACACTGTGTATAATCATATTACATAATGCATGACCATGTTACATATTGCATTGTGTATACTCATGTCACTTAATGTATGATCGTACATAATGTTTAAGCATGTTACATTGTGTATAATCATGTTACATAATGCATGACCATGTTACATAGTATATACTAATGTTACATTGTGTAAATCATGTACAAACCCACACTCATACCCCCCTCTCACCCCGCCCCCCACCCCAGTCTTGCTACCGCGGGGTCACCAGCCAACAGAACATCATGGAACCTTCTCCGCCAGCGCCCCCGTCAGGTCATCCTGGGTCGGTTCCCTCGCCCTCCGCCACCAGGTCACCGGTTCCCCTGAGACCGCCGCTCGTCTCCGTTTCGGATATTGAACAGCGCCTCGTGTTCACCAAGTTCACGCAGGTGGGAGAGATGTGGGGGGTATTAAGGGGGGGGGTAGAGTGGGTGGTTTTAGGGGTGAGGTGGAGGGGGGGTGAGGTAGACTTTTATTTGTTTATCTATTTTTATTATTTCTTTTTTTTTTGGGGGGGGAGGGATGGTAAAGGGTAGAGGCAGTCTAACTTTTTTTTTGTTTAAACGTTATCATATATTATTGTTATTATTATTGTTGTTATCGTAATTGCTATTAGTAGCAGTAGCTTCATTATCATTATTATCATTATTACTATTATTATCACCATCGTTATCCTTATTACTTATTTTATTACTTTTTGGATATTATCATCAATTTATCATCATCATCACTATGATCAAATAAATATATAATCAACATTTAATTATTTGCACTTTTGGAGAGAATGGTATATTTATACAAAAGGATTCAGAAATAGATTTTAGATTATGTATTTTTCTCATTTATATAATAGGGTTTGGATAATGTTGGAAAAAACAGACATTTTGCAGATATTAAATGATTTTTTTTATTATCATTTAATGGTATGTTACCGTAGACCACTAATGAGTAATATAATCTATACACAATGAAATTACACCTATTTATTTTCTTTTATTCATCTCTTTATTGTCAAAATTGTGATGTTTATTTTCGTATCAACTTTTGCCAACTGACACTGTTATCTTTAAATGTTCTGCAATCTCGTTTAGATAAAAGCCTATTTTTTTTTTATTGGCTTCGGGTTTATAAAATAAATAAAGCTTTTATTTTCTGAGCACAAAATCTAAATGTAGAAACGGTTATGAATGAGAATTAATATTTTCGCAATGCAAGAGATGTATTTTACCTTTTTCGAATATATATCTTCGTCAGAAATAGAGATATATTTGAAAGCGGTTAAAATAAATCCTTTGTATTGTGAAGATACTCAATATCTTTTTATATTCATTTATGGCAATGAATACGGTACAAAATCTAAAATACGGTACAAAATCTAAAGTACGGTACAAAATCAAAGCACGGTACAAAATCCTAAAAACGGTACAAAATCTAAAAATACGGGTAAATCTAAAAATACGGTACAAAATCTAAAATACGGTACAGAAATCTAAATACGGTACAAAATCTTTAAAATACGGTACAAAATCTAAAATACGGTACAAGTCTAAAATTACGGTACAAAATCTAAAATACGGTACAAAGTCTAAAATACGGTACAAAATCTAAAATACGGTACAAATCATACAGGTCAATAATCTAAAATACGGTACAAAGTTCTAAAACTACCAAAGTCTAAATATACGGTACAAAGTCTAAAATAAGTTACAAAGTCGGTACAAAATTTTCTAAAAATACAGTACAAAAATCTAAAATACGGTACAAAATCTTAAAAATACGGTAGTCTAAAAATACGGTACAGGAAAAGTAAAGAAAAAAACGGTACAAAAATCTAAAAATAAAATACGGTACAAAGTCTAAAATACGGATACCAAAGTCTAAATTCACAAATCTAAAATACGGTACCGCGTATTAAAATAACGGTTACAAAATCTAAAATACGGGTACAAAATCTAAAAATACGGTAGTCATAAAATACGGTACAAATCTAAAAATACGGTTACAATCTAAAAATACTAAAATACTAAAATACGTACAAAATCTAAAAAATACCGTACAAAAATCGAAAATACCGGTACAAAATCTAAAATACGGTACAAAAGTCTAAATACGGTACAAAAGTCTAAAATACGGCGTACAAAAGTCTAAAATACGGTACAAAGTCTAAAATACGCGGTACAAACATTTAAAAATACGGGTACAAAGTCTAAAATACGGTACAAAAGGTCTTAAAATACGTACGCCGGTACAAAATTCTTAAAGTAACGGATCCAAAAAATCTAAAATACACGGTACAAAGATCGGTACAAAGAAATACCGGTACAAAGTTTAAAATACGGTACAAAGTCTAAAAACGGGTAGCAAGAATCTAAAGTACTAAAAATAAAAAGTCGGGTACAAAATCTTAAAATACGTACAAAATCTAAAATAACGGTAGTCTAAAATATACAGAATCTTAAGTACGGTACAGAATCTAAAATACGGTACAAAGTCTAAAATACGGTACAAAATCTAAAATACAGGTAGTCTTAAAAATACGGTACAAAATCTAAAGTGCGGTACAAAATCTAATACGGTACAAAATCAAAATACTAAAAACTCATTTGCGTTTAGGGAAGACTAGCATATTTCTTTGTTTTTTTTTTCGTTTTTTTTTAAAAAAAAATTCCTCAACTATACACTCTTTTTATAGTGGAATGAAACAGTTATAAAGTTAATGTATCGGAAGATTAACAGGAAAAAAGACAGATGTAAGAATAACGAACAACTAAGTAAATAAAAAAGTAAAACCACAGGAAGAAATCATGGGGGAAAATGGCGGGAAATTCCAATATTTATCTCAATTAAACCAATAATCAAAACGAAACTAAAATCTTCGAAAAAGAATGAAAATAGATAAAAATAAATCAATTAAATACAATAATAATAAATGAATCAGTGAAATGAAATAATAGAATAAGTCAGTAAGAATAAAAAGAAATAACCAAGCTAATAATTAAAAACAATATATATAAACCAAGAGTAAAAAAACAAAAGCCAATAGAAACAAACTCTAAGAATCAAACCCTCAAAAAAAAAAACCATCATCTAAGAAACCAAAAAACAAACAAACCAACAACCATACCTCAGTAAGAATAAGACTAAGCAAATAGCATAAGAATAAAACCCGTTCCCCCTTGAAGACACCGTGTCCCCTGCCCCTTCCCCCCCCTTGTTCCACCCCCAGTATGCGTTTCCCTCCCTCGCAGCCGTTCGCGCCTCAACGACAGCGGCGCCAGTGCGGTCTTCGGCGGGCGAGATCAGCAAGTTCGAAGGGCGCCACCTCAAGCAGTACTGGCTCATGCTGTTCACGGACCTCCTCCTGTTCACGAAGATCAACCGGGACCGGGTGATATTCGGATGGGAGACCCGGTGCCACTCTGTGCGGGGTGTGCCAGGCGATATATCACGGTCAAGAAGAAAGGTGCGTGACGTATTTTTTTTTTTTTTTTT